GGTGTTTGCTGGTCCAAAACCCACTTGCAAACCCTTTGGCATACGTCGCTTGCATTCACTTGCTACGCTTGTGACCATGCTCTTCAAAAATAAATGACAACTTATAGACGGTCGACTCGTGGGAATACTTCAAAACCTATGCCTGTATGGAACGAACCAGTGTGAATTATATTCCTGACCCCCAGAATGAGCGAGAAATCGATGATACTCTTCCCCAATGAACTTGAAGATGGGACGAATTAGAGCAGTTCTGTTTGTGTCTCGTCAGGCGTGTACTACACAGTCCAACAATAATGGAAGTTGGATCTGTGTACGTCGACATTGTACGTGCCTGATGAGATACAAAGGAATAAGTCTTGAATGATGTGCAGGACTGCATTCTATTGTTTTCCATTTCCAGATCAAGATGTACATTCAGATGCCAGGATACTTTCCAGCAACTGGAGGACCAGGACTGGAGGATCAGGCGTTCCAGTTGCGTAGGACAGTGGTCCATTCGTTTCACATCAATAAAAGATAAACTCTACAGTTGAAGCCCGGTTATTTTAAACGTGGGCTTCCTACTGTAAGGGAATCCAGTCTATGCTTAAAAGCTGAGAAACGCTGTTTAGCTGTTTCATTCTTAATGAAACTAATCAGTGATGAACATCTCACGAAACTGGGAGTTTGGAGCCACTACTGAACAGTCAGAAAATAGCTGTTAACTGTTTCGTGACCCTTAGACAGGATCTGATAACTACCTAGCTAGGAAACAGCTTCTTGCTCTGTAAATGTCCGGAAACCAGGCGCTAGTAACAACCGAATATCATGTCAATTGGACGGATGTGTCACTTTCGGGATACGGACAAAACGAAAGCGTGCCCTGATTGGTCAGAATGTCGGCCAATCTGGATCGAGAGTCTTTTGATCGACGCTTCTCGCCTCGTCCCGGAAATCCTAGCACAGCCTTGTGGAACATTCCCCGATGCCCCTAAAATACGGTTGTAGTAATCTTCCATTGTCCCTAAAGGGCTGCCATCGTGCCTCTTGATCCACCACAGTGGGTGGAGCAGAAAGCCAAGCCATCAAGTCACAACAGTAAAGAAAATGTGATTTCAGATACAACGAAACGTCATCTTTTAATCCTATCGGATTGAAGTCCCAAGTTTTTCCTGTTCTTCATATATTATTCCTTTCGTTACTAACTTCGCTTTTCTATGACAACTGACACACACCCACAGAACATCGCACTATTCCGATTATACAGGTAGAAAGTCGTGTTTCGATCAGCTCCATATATGCAGGAGTTCAGCTTCACTTAAGCTGAAGTCAGGAGGCGTCTCTCTTCATAGACATTTCAATACCGACCATCAGCGAATGTTTCCAAGGATTCTCAGTGTATTTCCTATTGATTTTTCTCATTGATCTATCATGTAAACTTGTTGCAGTAAACGGAGTTTCGAGCGCATCCAATCACCTAATACTCTGACTGCCCACAGAGCTATAGGTTAGTGAATCGAACTTCCATCTTCATGCCTCTGACTACCCGACCAAATCTTCTTTTTTCAAATAAACATAAAATGTCGTAAAATGTACTTTCCTCTTTGAACGCCCCTTTGAAATTTGCCCGAATTTCTTCAAAGCCGAGCTCCCCTGTGTCTTTGTGTTGTTCTTGGCCTTATCGCCAATGATGGTCGTTTCTCTCCAGCCTAATTAATTCCCCAGCTATCTGAAACTAAAGTCTGATCGAGGTGTAGTTTCATTTCTCTCTCTCACGCACACATACCCACAAAGACATCTGGAAACCAGTGTGAAATAAGAGGGTTAGCAGTGCTGTAGACAGTGTAACCATGCCAACGTTTCCATTTTGAACAAAGTTAACGCTGCTTTACATTCTACCCGACAACCTTTTACTTGGTTGATGACTCTACCGGGACAAAAGTGCACAGAATAATGAATGGATACGTGTAGTATGAGAAAAAAGTATCGTAATCGTTTTCTTCTGACCAGTGGGCCAACGATTTCCTTTTTCCACCAGTCACGTGACTATCTGTGCTGAAGAAAAGAGTGAATAACTGGGCAAACGGATCCCAGCAGGTTCGCACGGTACATCCGGTGCGAAGTTACTGACCAGCAGGTCCGTGGTTCGAACCCGACCTCCGCCTCTCGACTTTCCCTGCCTAGGCTTGGGCAACCTGACATTATCCCATCCCTCGTGTTTCCTTTGGGTGGCATGGCAGCTAGACACCGAAAGAGTATTAGAGCTGGACGATCTCTGTTTCCGGCGCTGAATGAAGGGCACGTTTCTTCATCCATTCCTCAATTAGACTACTGTATTCAGTCCATTCGTTCTTAACTTGGTGATTTATTTCTCATGCGGGTCCCGAAGAGCAACATACAGGAACTGATTCATATGAGTAGCGCGTTAAGTCTATAAAATGTATCGCAATGTCTCAAATATCGTACCAACTGAAACATGAGGCGGCCTGGTGCAGCAGATTCGGTCGCTTAGCAACATCACAAACGAGAGATAACGCTGGATTCTAGGTGAGTCTCTCACAAATCCAAATTTTCTGGCTAATGAATGAAGTTCGCTAATTCCGTGCAATTCGACAGAACCTAAGAAACTGAACTTGCATGATGAGTCTTGAGGGGGTCAAAAACGGTCAGGGGATGTCGAAGAGCTTTCAGTAGACTTCTGAGGAGCGCATTACGTCTATCATTGTCATCATCATCATCATCATCGACAGCATGACATCAGTGTTCAACTGCCGATGCTCTGTGCTGATAACACGAATGTCATGGGTTCTGTCACGAAGAGACTGAACCTTACCGTGGTGTGACGGTTTGCGAACCTCAGCGATCCATTGGGCTATACTGCGCAGTGTCCCTGTGACACTCACAGAGTCTCTCATACCAGGTTGGTCAATGGCTAGAGGTGTGACGAACACAGTCTTCTGGTCCTCCAGGTTGGGGGTTGGAACATGTGGCGACGTGTTCCGTAGAAATGGTAATGCATTTGCATTTCCCGCTAAACACCGCTGCCTTGCGGTTAGCCTTTTGAGCTAAAGGCCTTGGTTGAGGACCCTAATCGTCCTCCTGTTTAGGTGTGGGCAGTATCCCAGCCCTCGTACAATCATGACATTCACAAATAACATTACGTCTATACAAAGAAATGATTCTGTTTGAGTGTTCGCACGGCCATCATTTATGTTCTCATCAATTCACATCTTCTGAGTCGTGTGCCGTTAACTGGGGGTGGGGAGTCTTTCACCTCAGAAGTCTAAAGGCTGTGCACGCTCCCACATCTGAGGGTAGGGAGAAAAGCGTCTTACAGCTACTGTGGTTAACTGAACACCTGGAAACCAAGCAGCTGGCTATTTCATCGCGCATCGCACCACGGGTGATGTACGTTTAATCACCGCAACATTCCGGATAGTGGTTGCGCATTCCAAAACAACTGAGCCACCAAAAATTCCTTAGTTGTTTAACACTACTCGGGGAAATCAAGTCCATTGGGTTTACGATAGTGTCAAAGCCTTCTCCATCTGGTACCTTGAAATAATGCATGTATATTAGTCGACGAACAAGGGAAGATCTGAAGGCAACCAGAAATCTTTGCATTCAGGTGGATAAAGATAACCTGGGTAGATTGTACCGTTCCTAGCCAAACGCTATCGGTAATTCAAAACAACAAGCAAATTCCTAAAGCGAAGACCAAACGAGACTCAAACGTAACCCGAAACTTGAAAAGGTAACAGTCATTTTAACGAGATTGATTTCTTTTACGGAATATTAATAACTATTGAACTAAAGTGAGCAAACGGAGGTAGTAGCTATTCTTTATACCTTGTCTCGCCTACCACCCAGTTCCGGTGACACATGTGCACTGTTTGACCGGAGCAGATTCCAAAATTTCGGTTTCCTTAACAGGGTGTACCAGGACAGGTGAGAGTTCACTGTAAACGAGAGGGATTTGCCACATCTTCAGAGGAATCCCACAAGTTCCTACGTTGTGCACAGTTGTGTGCACGACTGACAGTGTGACTAGCTAGTTTGTACTTTGATCTCGCGGAAGAAAGAAAAACCTCTGAGTATGACGTTATATCACGCTGGTGGATCTGTAAGCTCAAAACCTTGTGTCACATCAGAGGTTGAGTTGACCGATCATCTGTACGCAATACGCAGCCCCTAGTAACATCATGACCAACGGCTTCCGAATAAATCGTGACTCGAATTACGGAACCATGGTAAAAATCCCCCCACCATACCATCGAATACGACCGTATGACGTATCGGTAAACATCTGACAGACGAAATGAGTGTCATTAAGAAAGTGAGATGACCGCCTATGAAAGGCTCTCGAGATGGAAGGAGCGTCTGCTGATGGTGCCACGTCACAACCCAAGTCTGAATCTCTTAGTGTAGTGATTCAGAAATAACCATTAATTCACATGTGTCTGCTAACAGGTTCCGGAATTTCAAACATAAGCACCTGTTCTATGTATGTGTGTGTGATTGTCGGACAAATTGCAGATGCTCCGAAACCTCACCTATCGGTTGTCCCTTAACGCCAGAAATGTAACAGGTTTCCTGTTAAGTGAGACGGAGATCAGCATTTCCGAGCCTCGGTTTTTAGTTCTTGCCACGCTTGCTTT